CTGGCTTGGCCTTGCTGCACGCAGCTCTTGAATGGAGGCTGATACGTGTCTGCTAGGTCTTGCTCACTCACCTGCAAAACACCCAAAATAAAATAAAATCAATGCCCCAATAACACGTTTATAAATATGAGATAATTATATTTCGTTTTTATTTTTCTCTATAAATATGAGAACACCAAGGTATGGTGGACTGTGATCTCTGTTTTTCGACCGACAATACACACAAGAATAATGAAAAATTAATTGAAGTGAATTATTAACTGACAAATTCAAAACCCAATAAAGTTCTTCTCAATATTTATCAAATTAAATATATAATTTATGGCACTTAATCCAAGGAGGAATCTTGAATTTTGCCCAACAAAGTCACAAAGTGACTGAAATAAAAAACAAAAAAAAAGAACAAAAAATTCCAAGCAAGAATTTGAATGGACCAATTGAAGAAAACTCACACGAGCATCGAAGCCAAAACGCGTGACGCTTTTCCAGTTGTCCAAATCATAAGCTGTGAAATGCTTGCAGCAAGCAGAAGCTTGAAGACGACCACCGACCTTGAGCTTCCCTCCTTCAAAAGAATCGCCTTGAACGCCTCTCACATACGACACGGCGTATTTGCCTACCACCAATGGGTCTTCGCCAGGTGTCTCCTGCCCTCTCCCCCACCTTGGGTCCCTGAAAATGTTAATGTTTGGTGCCCAAAATGTCATCCCTGTTGCTTGCCCAGCATTGTACAATGCCCTAGCTTCAGTCCCAATCACCTAATGAACAAAGTAAATAAATAAAAGTTTTCATTTTTTATATTTATTTCGAATGAAAACACAAAAACAAGGACATGGGTTTTGATGTGCAGCAAAGAGAAAGTAATGGGTTGTAATTTTTTGGACCAGAAAAGTAACAGAGGCCGAGTTGGGTTTTGTTTGACTCGGTGAGCTGACTCACCTGGCCAATGCGGTACCAGAGGTGTTCGTTGAAGGAGGCGGCGGTGAGGATGACTTGAGGGAAGCTGGTGGCGTTAGAAATGGTGCCGTAAAGATTGATTCCTTTGCCGACGTCGGCGACGCCGTGTAGTGCCTCGGACCACCACTCGTAACTCGGGATGCCGAGTCGGGGAATCGGAGGGGCCGAGTTAACGAGTTGGGAGATTTTCTCATCCAATGTGAGGCGCGAGACCAGGTCCTGGACTCTTTGGTTGATGGGGAGGGCGGTTTTGCAGAAAGGGTAGGAGCTGGTTGATGGCTGGGACGAGTCACAGGCATATGGAGGCTGAGTTGACTCGGTAGGGTAAATGAGGAGGGTGGTGAAGAAGAAGAAGAAGAAGAAGAAGAAAAGAGGTGTGGGAGGAGTGAGAGCTTGAAGCTTCATGGTGCGTGGTTTGGTTAGATGCAGAAGTGAATGCAGAAAAAAGTGAAAGTTTATAGGGCAGAGGCATGGACAAAGGTCTCTGTCACTGATGAGGATGACTGAGCCCACTGCTACTTTGAGGTCATTCTCTAATTAAGATAGTTTGCTATATTACTAAAATTGTTTATTTTTTTTTATACCTTTTTTCTTGTGAGAACAAATTGTTTCTAAATGAAAATTACTTTATTATATTGGTTTTATTTTTATTTTTAAATAAATGATATTAGAGAAGAAGATGAATTGAACTAGGACCTCGAATGCACGAGTAAATGTTCTTAATTATTTTAGTTACAAGTTCCTTTGTTAATTTATATTTGAATTAATTTTACTAATTGAAATTTGAGAAAAAAAAGATAGACAGAGAGGGGAAAAGAGGAGAGAGATGCCACTCGTTGATGGATACGGTCAAACAAACGAGTATAAAAAAGAAAGAAAAAGATATTTAAGACTCACCCACTTCACTCAGCCTCACTGTCCTTATAAAACTAGCACGTTTCCTTTTTAGATGTAGTTATCAATTTTATTAAAACCAGAACCTTGTAATTTCCTGCTGGAAATTTAATTAAAATCGTTCAACAATCACTATTTCAATTCCTTGTAAATTAAAAGGAAAAGTGGCAATGAAGCCCGTCAATGTAAAAATTCGTCATAATTTGAAGCCCATAAGTTTTGAACCTTTTGTCTTTGCAAAGCCCATCAATGTGTATGCTGCTGATATTAATAGACATACTGATGCTAATATTAATCTATATATATAAAGCAAAAGGCAAAGAATGGTAAAACATTCAAAATACCAGAAAATACCCTTGGTTAATACAAATATTAAGAATTGAAATTATTAATTAAATTAGGATAATATGGTAAATTCACACTTTTTCATTTAAAAAAAATTAAAAAAAAAAAAAAAATCAGATAATGGATCCTATTTGTATGGAACACAACTACCCATTATCTTTTTTAATTCTAAAAAAAAATTTAAAATTTTAAAAAAAGCCTCTCGCAGGCGCGGGAGCGCATGCGGAGAGGCTAGTAGACATAATATTAAAACCCATCATGTCAACGTAGGAATGGCAACGGGCCGGTTGGGGTTGGAGCTCACCAATACAATTGGTCTCACATCTATTAAAGACATGGTACACAAATTGGTATCTAAAGATGGTCTCCCTAGCATTTTCTCTCAAATAATTTATGGCCATAAAATATTTATAATTTATGGCCAAAGCCCCAAAAAATTCTTCTAATATATTCTCCCAAGATTTAAAGCAAATGATCAATGGCTCGTTTAAGCTTCTTTTGATACTAGAAGTCTAGATGCATGTTGCCCCAGAAATTTGTTTTACTTTTCTTTCATGTTATTGTTCTGTTTAGTTGGATTTTGGTTTGATGTTGATAATGTTGCTCTGAATATAGTATTTCAATGTGCCCCATGAAGATTATACATCAATACTTGAGTTGAGAACCCTTATTTGGAGGTGATTATTTTTTTTTTTTGGGTGGCATTTTATCCATATAGGCTGGTCTTATTCTTACAACTCTGCCATGAATGAAGCACTCCAAGAAGTAATAAGGTCTTTCTTATCAGCCAAAACATGAAAGGAACAGACTTTCATACTTAAGTCGACGGATTTTAAACGAGCCTTTGTAGAATTAAGTTGTATTATTTAATTTGCATTAGCAAAGAAAACATGATATGTTAGTCTTGTGTGCGTTAGGATGTCACCATACAGTGCCATGATCGTTCTCTTCGTTAATTTTGTAAATATCCAGCATTTCTTCTTCCACCGGATGGGTCTTGCCGGCTAAGACAAGGCAATGGAGAGGTGCTCCAAAATCAACAAAATGCAGTTGCTTCATTTTACCAGAAACTATCTTCTGATCCTCACTTCCCAGCCGAGCAAATCCAACACACATACTGTCCTCATCATATGCTGCAAGGTGGGTAATGCAATAATCAAAACTACAGCAACTAGAAGTCATCGTCTTATGTTGTGTACAAGCCAGACAATAGATAACATTGACAGTGAAGTCCTCAAGATATGAAAATTTTGGGGTCCTTACCAGATTCTCGTCGATTGTCCTCAACCTCCAAAAGCTGCTCAATTGCAGTGTTTATTGACATATATCTAGGTTGTTCATACTGCTTCCTTCCACTGAAAGATTCAAGGGAGGTTGAAAAGAGTAAATAAGTCTATGCGATAGCAGAATCACAAAACACATAAAACAAGACACACAGTAAATCCCTCCAAGCTGAAAATCAAAGAGAAGGCAATCAATCATTTGAACACGGACCTGCACAAAGATTCCAGAGTCGGTTCCTTCACGCGTATATGAAATTACTCATCTATGTCTATTCGGTCATATTTAGTTCAACATGAAATTGGTCATATGTGTAATTTAAAGAGTCTAGCCGCTCGGCTATACTATTTTTTAAAAAAATGACCCCAATAAAGCCGAACGGCTATACTCGCTTTATAAAAAAAAATCTCGAGTGTAGCAGCGTGGCTATACTATTGATATATTTAAAAAAAAAAGGATGTGCTAGCAATTCGAACCCACGTGTCAAAAACAGTATAGCCGCACGGATATACTATTTTTTTAATAATAAAAAACCGTAGTATAGTGTTGCGGCTATACTCTTTAAGTATATTATCTTTAAAAGAAGTATAGCCACACGGTAGAGGACCTCATCGATTGTTCTAGAGTATTGCACAATGACAACGACTCGTCATCTTCAGTTGTGGAGGAAGACGGGGATTTCACCTCGTCGTCGTTGTCATTTGGTTTGGACTTGGGATTTTTGATCTTTTGCTTCAATTATATGTTTCTCTTTGGATTTTAGTTGATTTAGGGAGTGTATTTTACGCTTTGATGATCAATTTATCTTTTGTTACTATTTCAGTTATGGATCTCAATTTTGTTTAACAATATACTTCTATGACAGAGTATTAACAAGATAGTTAACTGACAGAGTATTAACAATGTACTTCTATGCCATAGTAATATTAACAAGATAGTTCTATGACATAATATTAACAATGTACTTCTATGAAGAGCCCCTCCTTGGTTTTCACAATTTTTTTTTTAAAATAAATTGTTTGGGTTTTTTTAATAAAAAAAAATATGGGCTGGGCTTTGTTTTGGGTTGTTTTTTGAGTTTTGTGTGTTGACTTTTTTAAAGTTAATCAGTGGCAATCATGTAATTTATTGGAACTTCAACACCCATTTCTTATGTAGTAGTTTTGGGTGTGTTTCTTAAGTGCATTCCATGTGGGTTTCTATTTATTTATAATTTCAGCCCCTATTTTGGGTATAATAGTGAAGCTCTCTTTAATTTTCATAGTTTAATTGTTTATTGTTGATTTTGGGACGTTTTACATAGAGTGTATAAAATTACTCGACAAAACCCTTGTTTTATTTCATATTATTTTTCCTCACAAGGATAAACAAACTATAAGGAAAATTCTCCAATAAGTATCTAATATTTAGGATAAACAAACTGTAAAGCATCCTAAATAAAGTCATACCATAGCGCACATGTGCATGAAATAAATTACAAGATGGAAACATCTATGGAGAATCTTTCTTCTGAAAAGAAGACACAGAGAAAGTGAAATGTGTGTAGCAAAGAAGCATGTTCTGATCAGGTAGCCAAAGGATCAAGAGCAAGCAATTCACCACATTTCATCATATGTACTGGCTTCGACAAATGCAGCATCTGAGTTGAGAGGAAATGAGAAACTTGTTTCATTGTTGGACGAGATTTCGGGCTAGAATTCAAGCATGAAAAGGCTATCTTCACAAGAGAGACCACTTCACTTGCAACTTGATGCGTAGGAGGGGAAATGCGTTGGTCCAAAACATCCACAATTGGTATTTGATGGGGTGGTAATGCAGATGATGATGAGGAGGAGGAGGATGAAGAGATTAATGAGAAAGACGAGAAAAGATCTCCAGGATGCTTTCCCATAATTATTTCCAAAGTGACCACACCAAAGCTATAAACATCGCAGTTCTCATTCACTTCCATTGTGTAAGCAAGCTCTGCTAAGAGAAAACCGCAGAGAAATGGCATTATTAGTTTATAGACATAACTATTCAATGGAATTTTAACGAAACTGTATCATGCATAAATCGAATTATTAGTTTATAGTCATATTTTCTAAATCAAAGAAGTGAAAATGTGTTTATGTTAACCACTCCTAATGATGAAAATGAAGCATTGGTCTAAAACCAAAAAAAAAAAGAGATAAATACAGAGAACATGGAATCACAATATTACCTGGTGCCATGTAGCCATATGTGCCTGCAGCCGCAGTCCAATTAGTTGAGTCTGGATTTAAAAACTTAGTTGTGCCAAAGTCTGAAACACATGCCTCATATTCAGAATCCAACAAAATGTTCTTGCTTGAGATGTCACGATGTACAATCGGTGGCAAGCAATCGTGATGCATGTAAGACAAGGCATGAGCTACACCTTTAACAATATTCACCCTTATACTCCACCCCAACTCTTTAGCTTCTTCATCTTTGCTCAACATTGCGGCCAAGCTACCTTTTTCAAGATACTCATACACCAAAAACGAGTGTTGTTTATGTATGCAGAAACCATAGAGCTTCACAATATTCCGATGTCTTATCTCACTGAGTGCCCTTACTTCATTCAAGAACTCCTTCTGAAATTCTATCTCGCCATCCCATAGCAGATGGAATTTCTTCACGGCCACTACATCTCCAGATGACAAATTCACTATGTAGACACTTCCATGTCCTCCCTTCCCAATGCAATATGTGGAATCAAAATCTTCTGTTGCCCTTATGATTTCCTCATACATTGATTTTCCATTAAAATTTAAAACCGAAAAGGAAATCTCTCCATGCATGTGGTTTTGTTTAGTATCTTGATGCTTCTTCTTTCTTTGCACTATTACAAAGACAATTGTAAAGAGAGCAGATAGAAGTACAAATGCCGCTAGAAGAGAGAATATGACCTTGTGGTCCTTTTTTAAGCCATGTGCATTGCAGGGTGGTAGTAGAGCTCCAACTTTGCCACACAATCCTTTGTTCCCTTTCAATCTTTCTGGCGGAGCTTCTCGAAATGCACTGATGTTGGGAAGGGGACCTTCCAAGTGATTGTAGGATATGTCAACGGACGACAAGCCGTGCATCTCTTCGAAACTTGATGGTATGGAACCCGAAAGATTGTTGTGGGAAAGATTGAGCATCATCAAACTCTTCATATTGCTCAATACTGATGGTATGCTACCTTCAAGTGAGTTATGACTTAAATCCAAATCATTCAATTGAACTAACGTCCTCAACTTAGATGGAATTGGTTGAGCCAACTTGTTGTTGCTCAAATTCAAGTAGTGCAATTTGGACAAGTCACCTAGAATGCTCGGAATTGACTCATTGAATTTGTTTGTTGACAAGTCAAGATATTCAAGATCATTCAATGATCTGAATTCCGACGGTATACAACCCGAAAGTTGATTTCCATTCAACATCAACTTCAACAATGAAGATAACTTCCCGAATTCTTTTGGGATCAACCCAACTAAATGATTTGAAGAAAGGTCCAACACATGAATTTGGGTTGCGTTGCCTATCTCAGGTGGTATGCTACCAGTAAGGCTGTTTCCTGCCATTAGTAAGGTTTTCAGCTTTGGGCATTGTCCCCAGTTGTATGAGATTTCTCCATACAAGTTGTTGTGGCTTATATTCATAAAATCAAGATTCGGATAAACACCGAAGTCTTCAGATATATCACCTGTCAATTGGTTTTGGTTAAGATGGAATCTCACCAAGGTCGTGCAATTTTTCAAGCTTTTGGGGATTGGACCAGTCAAATAGTTTGTGTTTACTGACAAGTTTGTGAGTTTTCCACCTTGGCAGATATTTTGGGGCAAATAACCAGACAATTGGTTTGCATCCAAGTGCAGTAATGTCAAATTCTTGAGATTCTCTAACTCTTGGGGAATGGAGCCGGAAAGTTGGTTATCGCGTAGGAATAAGATCTCCAAGTTGCTCAAGTTAGCAAATGAGGTTGGAATTGAACCATTGAGTTGATTCTCACTTAAGCCTAGATTTACAAGAGATTTCAAGTTCCCTATCTCCTTGGGAATCAAACCAGAAAGTTGATTGGAATACAAGTACAAAGTGTTTAGGTTTATTAAGTTGCCAATATTTGGAGGGATGAGACCACTTAAATTGTTGGAGAACAACAATAGATGTACAAGAGATTTCAAGTTCCCTATCTCCTTGGGAATCAAACCAGAAAGTTGATTGGAATACAAGTACAAAGTGTTAAGGTTTATTAAGTTACCAATATTTGGAGGGATGAGACCACTTAAATTGTTCCAGGACAATGATAGATATACAAGAGATTTTAGGTTGCCTATCTCATTTGGAATATTCCCAACAAATTTATTGTCATAGAGTTGAAGAAACCTAAGATTTCTTAAGAGACTGATTTTTGGTGGGATTCTCCCAGAAAACTGATTTTGGGAGAGATCAAGATGGTGGAGTTTGGAGAGGTAACTGATTTGAGGTGGGATGGCATCAAAGATTTTGTTCAAGCTGAGGTTAAGATATTCAAGATTAGGGAAGGACAAGAATGAAAACTCATGTAGCGTACCTTGAATACCATAAGTGGAAAGGTTTAGCTTTCTAACACTTCCAGCTGAGTTGCATGAAACACCAGTCCAAGTGCATGGGCTTGTTCTTGGTTTTGGATTGGTGCTGGAAGAATTGGTGGCATTAATATTATGAGTGGGAGGGTTGTACCAGGTGAGGTTATTGAGGGCTTGATTTGGAAATAAGCTGGCTTTCCATTTGAGAAGAGCCTTTGCTTCAGTATGAGAAGTAGAAGTAGCAGAAGGAAAAGCAACCCAATTTGGTGATGAAACATACAAGAAGATGACAAGGCAATAAGGCAGGAAGCATAGTTTAGAGGAAGTTAAAGATGTCATGGTTATTGTTTGTGTGGTATACGTAATATTGTATGGGCCGTGCCTTACTAGTTATATATAGTGTGGGTTAGTCTTTGGGGTTCAGTTGAGCATTGAAAAGTCTTTCGGATCTCATCTATAATCAGTTTTCTTTTGAGTAAAGGTCTCAGTCTTTCATTCTCTAAATTTAAATGCCAATTTTGTATTTTCTGGATGAAATAATGAAATGAAATTGATGGAGGTAACCATATGCATGACATGGGGGTCCCGCCCACCTGAATGCTTGAAAAAGATTTATTTGTTTACTTCAAATCTCCCTATCCTCAAAATCAGGCCAAGTCTCTTTTACTGCTATTGTTAGAATTGTAATAAAGAAGCTAACAGATTGAATGAAAGTGAGACACAAATTGCGTGCAAAAGGCGTGTTCCTTGTGCTCTTGAATAAGTTATCTTTCACCTCAGTAGTTGTTGTTACAATGGCTGGAGTCAAAGTCTTTGTCTCTCGTTATTTATAGTTATAATTAAATGTCAATTTTGCATTTGCTGACTGAATTAATGAAATAAAATGGATGGAAGTGAGAGCGTCGTTGATGGTTTGTTTTGTCGTTAATCAGTTGCCTTAGGCGACTCAGAAATCAAACTCACGTGCCTTTCACGTGGCTTTACTCCTTAGCAGCATTAATGGTCCATTTTCAACTTCTTCTTTTTTCCCTCTTTAATCTCTCACCAAACACGAGCAGAGCTATTTATATAAAATAAAAATAAATAAAGAAAAGTCTTTCGGATCTCAGTTTGGTGGTGAGCTTGGACCACCAAACTACCTAGCTGGATCATAAACCCTATATCACATTCAGCTCTGACAAATCAAACAGAGAGAAAAATAACGTTTTTCTTTTGTGTGGGTATACATATCTTCAGTCAAAGTCTTTGTATGTTATCTATAATGTTAAAATTGGAAAGTTTGCATGTTTTCGCTGAACTTGTATTCTTCCTATTATTACGATCCATGAGTCAAGAACACGATTTCTATTTATAGATGTTTTAAAACCATCTAAATAATCAAGTTCACCCAACAATAATTTTTTTTAAAAAAACACATTTAAATTCAAGTTTAATCCTATTTATATTGGAATTACTGAAATGAAATTGATGGAAAGTGAGAAGTTACTATTTGCGTGACATAGGGGTTCAGAAGTGTCCCACCTGAATGCTTGACACTATGTCACATGGTATATCGTAGGTAGGTAACAAGCTTCAACAAATGCTGCCTCTCCGAATAGAAAGATACTGAGAAGGGTTTTTGTCATGAATGGTCCTTGAATTTTTCAAAAGTCCTCATTTGAATTCTCAAACTTTCCAATCAATCAATGTGATCCTTAACCCTCTGTTTGGATGAAGAAATTGAAACTCTGAAAAACAAAGGAAAAAAAATTACATATGTTGCTCAACAAGGCTATGTACTCTCCTTGATGAAACCTAAATGTGAAACCTTGAATGGAAAGCAGATGATTTTGTTGAGCAAAAATTTGAGTTCTAGGACTAAATAAGTTGAGTTATATTTTGATGAAATAAATTGGTCAGGTGATGATACATGACCAGTTTTAACAAAGTTTTGTTGGAATGCGACAACAAAACCAAATTGATGTGAGACCAAAATATAAGGGACCTATTGATTGATTTGAACATTCAAGGACTAAAATAAGAACTTTTAAAACAGAGTACATGTAATAAAAACCCATGTTGAGAAACATGTTTGACGAGATTGTGGATTGACATTCATGGCAACGTATTATCGTCACAAGAAGAGAGAAGACTTCCCCTGCTTCTTGATGCCAAAGCTAGCTATCCATATGTTACTGCAATGGCGACCCAATTAGTTGAGTCCAGGTTCCCTGTCACGACTAGAACAATTCAGACAAAACATGCTTCTTGCTTTGCTTTAGTGGAAAAATTAATCCACTTCAGCTGTCCCCAACAAATTTGTAGAGGAATAACTCGTCAATGCAATTTCATCCACGCCATTCAGTTTTCTTTTGAGTGAAGGTCTCAGTCTTTTTTTTTTTTGGTCTAAACCATGAGGTGGTCTTGGATGGGCCCCAATTATGGGTGGCACCTTTAAGCCTTAACCACAACCCAGACTAATCCCCACTCACACCGGGTCGGCCCATAAGGGGTAAAGTGTTGGCCAAAGTGGTGACTCCGTATGAGAGCAGGGATCGAACCCCTGACCTCTCTTAAGGAATGAGAGTGCCGAACCACTCACACCAACCACCTTGGTTTAAGGTCTCAGTCTTTCATTCTCTAAATTTACATGCCAATTTTGTATTTTCTGGATGAAATAATGAAATGAAATTGACGAAGGTGAGAGATAACCATATGCATGACATAGGGGTTTAGATGTGTCCCACCCACCTGAATGCTTGAGTGAGCTTGCTGCCATTGTTAGGATTGTAATAAAGTCTTTGTCTCAGTGGTTGTTGTTACAATGGCTGGAGTCAGAGTCTTTGTCTCTCGTTCTTTATAGTTATAGTTAAATGTCAGTTTTGCATTTTCTGGACTGAATTAATGAAATGAAATGGATGCCAACTTAATTTTTTAATTTATCAACACAAAATACAGAGGTGATTCACGAATTCATCGGTTATTTATTAGCTTGCTTGCTTTGTACATAGTCGAATGAAAGCTATTTCTTCAGATTTTTTTTTTTTTCAAAAAATCGGTTATTTTGGGTGTAAAAAAAAAAAGAGGCTGAAGTTTTGAAATTCCCCTTGAACTTGTACATAACTTTTATTGAAAAGTCTTTGAGAGCGTGTTCCTTGTGCTCTTGATTAAGTTGTGTGAGAACACATGCAGAGAACTGATTTTTAGACCTCAAATTAATAGTCAACTTAATTTTTTAATTTATCAACACAAAATACATCGGTTATTTATTAGCTTGCTTGCTTTGTAGTTGAATGAAAGCTACTTCTTCAGATTTTTTAAAATAAAAAAATCGGTTATTTCCCTTGAACTTGTACATAACTTTCATTTTGCCCATTGTTTTTTCATTTGAGAAAATTCAGGATACAAACATTTTTTTTTGACAATCTACCCTCTAGTGCTAAATTTCCTTACATTCCAACTATTTTACAGTTAAAAGATACCACGTGGGCAATTTGGTCAATTTGTATCTTATAAATAATTAAAAACTGAAAAATAAAATAACATAGATATATACACAAAAAATAAAATAATTATAACAAAAATAGAGAGAAAAATAACGTTTTTGTGTGTGGGTATATTCGAGTAATATTATGCATAAATCTGGTGTTAACATGGCTTGGAATGTTTTCAAGTTCTGCTCAATCATTTTAAAATGACAAAAGTTTGTATCCTTAATTTTCAAAATAAAATAATTATAGAGCAAAATGAAAATTAGATACAAATTCAGGAGGGATTTCAATAGCCGGGGTTGAGGTTGTTGCTCTATATGTGGTGTATTTTTATAGCTTTGTACATTTTTATTTTTCTTATTTGGATTGTAAATTTCTCTAACAAGAAAATATTAGAACCCCAATAACGCTACGGGCACCAACTTGTTTACCAACTTTTGGATACCAACACATGTGGCACATGACATGGCAACCCATGTCATCTGCCATCTCATCTATTTTAATTACATAATTTATTATATAAATAAAAGAATTTCACACCCAAAAAAAAAAAATGAAAAAAAAGAGTAGAAACCCAACCGTTTCATATTTATGGTCCCTTCCGTCTTCCTCCTTGGCACCCCCCCTCTTGAAAAACCCTAGAAATTCAACAGTCCTCCATGATAGTCAATATGTCTCTTAGTATGGGAATCAAAGCCAAGATGCCAGTCAAGGTGGATATCAGTATGGGAATCAAAGTCAGAATTCAAGCCAAAATATATGTTTGCAAGATAATCTAGGTGCAAGTGTCGTGGATGTGGGTTTTTCATATTGTAACTATAGTTGGGTGGACAATTCCAATCAAAGCATTCAACATCCTCCTTTTCAACCGCCACCAGTTGAAATTTCTCAAATTCAAAGCACCGAGCCTATATATGGGCCATCTTTCGTGAATGAGCAGTCTAATGAAATTGCTAAGCTTGGGTACTGGAAAACCAATCTGTTCCAGCAATAACAAATGATTCTGTGCCATCTCATCCAAGGGGTGAAAGGTAACTTAAGAAATCAGGCTTGGACCATCTTCCCCCTGCTGGAAAAAAATCAGATTTGCTATCATGGAGGACTGTTGAATTTCTACGCGCGCGGGGACGCGCCGAGGAGGAAGACGGAAGGGATCATAAATATTAAACGGTTGGGTTTCTTCTTCTTTTTTTTTGTTTTTTGTTTTTGGTGAAATTCTTTTATTTACATAATAAATTATGTAATTAAAATAGATGAGATGACAGATGACATGGGTTGCCATATCATGTGCCACATGTGTTGGTATCCAAATTGTAAATTTCTCTAACAAGAACATATTAGAACCCTGACACATTAAAATATAGGAAATAAGCACACAATTATCTCTATATATCTTCAATCTAAGTCTTTGTCTGTTATCTGTAATTTTAAAATTGGAAAGTTTGCATGTTCTTGCTGAACTTTAGTGAAATGAGGTTGATACTTGAATGCCGTTTTCTCCTTCCTATTATTACGCCCCATGAGTCAAGAACAAGATTTCTTATTAAAAGAGCCATTCAACTCAATGCACATGACTGGAAAACTAATTTGATTTTGTTTGTTTTTTAGTAACCATAGCTTTTTCATAGATTTTTCTCTGATCAAGGGGTTCCTCGACTTTGATGTTTTTGGGAGAAAAATATATTGGAATTACTGAAATGAAATTGATGGAAAGTGAGAGGTTACTATTTGCGTGACATAGGGGTTCAGAAGTGTCCCACTTGAATGCTTGACACTATATCACATGGTATATCGTAGGTAACAAGCTTCAACAAATGCAGCCTCTCCGAATAGAAAGATACTAAGAAGGGTTTTTGTCATGATTGATCC